GAATGTTGTGTGAGAACAGAGTATTTAAACAACCTTCTTAAAAAGTCATAGCAAACAAATTACGAGAATGTCCCCTTTTCACCCTTTTTTAATATGATACATCCTGAACAGGACATTAGGGAATATCCTGGGGCCACTGGATTTGGGAACGGAGCAAAGGGAAGCAGGAAAAGCAGCACCACTCCCCCACAGCGTCCTTAAGGATTACAAACCCCTGAACTGGCTATAAACGCCAAGTCATTCATTATCTCATTTTGATTTGATTTGATACTGAATATTCATGATTTGGAACAAATCTATGTGTGTTTTGTAAAATCTTTGATCCGAGGATCAATTATGTTTGAAGGATATCTATTTATAGATGCCGGGTTCATCAGATAGTAAATGCTGTATTATATTTGTTATTATATTTTCGATTTACCCGCAAATACTGGAAATTAAACAGCTACTCTAGATCCAGTAAGGTTTATTTTCAATAAGTTATTAGCTATGTAATAGAATTAGATTAAAATTAAAATTAATCTAATTACAAGAGAGTCTCAGAAAATCTCATGAAGGTGTCTTAAAACCTGAACCAAAGAGTCAATTCAATCCACTTGGAAAAGGCTCTTTCTTCTTTTTGTTGCTTGAAAATGCGCACAAAAGTCACAGGACAGTTTTCTGCCCGCAGCAGGAGGCTGGAGGGATGTAAGAACACATCAAATATTCTCTTCCAAGGGACCGTGACTTTTTACACTTTACTTTCTTTATTTTATCACTTAATTTCTGCTTTGTTTAAGCTTCTGCTTGTTTTGGTTTCTGGGTGAAAAGAAATAAATACAGTTACGGCCCACCATAGTTTGGCCTGAATAAAAACCCTTTTACGTCATCAAACACATTATAAGAAGCTAATTTTTATAGTTGCCAGGGCGACAAGTTTGTCCTCCTCAACTAAACACAAAAAAGGCTGCAGGCACAAAAGAACCTCGGAGTGAAGTAAATGACTTCAAGAATCATCACAGCCATGCAAGATGGAGAATTAATATCCGATGGCAAAGACATGAAACAGTTTCATGAGATTGTTTCCCATGTCATGGGAGAACCCAACACACTTTTCATACAATATATCCAGATTATCAAAGAAAGCAGTGATACTGTTCACTAATAGAGTCATTTGCCAGTAACACTCCATCTAATGGTGACTGGAGGGTTCTTGTAATCTTGCAGACTGACAGATGCTTTAAAAAGATATATCAAAGTTTTGAAAAGCCGCTAGATCATCCCTAATGGCACTACAAGCCATTAATTATGACCCTTCAACTTGGCTATTTGAAGATCATCAGTCCACACAATGCTGTGTGTGTCATTCCTTAGTGATTGACGATTACACATGACTATTGTTTACCTCAAGAGGGCTTCCAGGGTTATGTTCAGGGGCTGAGGAAAAACTATAGGAAGGAAAGGGTGGAAAAGCAGCCATTCTTTCCCAGCACTTAAGCCATACCCATGAGTGAGTTGTTTTGGGGGTAGTCTGCTTGTCCAGAAATGAGAGGCAACTATTGTCCATGTACCGCGAGAGGATGGGGGGGCTTTGAACGGGCACTGGTGTGGTGAAGGGAACTGGGGAGGAGGAGTGGGAGAGAAATTTGAATTTCTGCTCAATTCCGTCACGACAGCAGAGATTTTGACAAAGGGACACTTTGATAACCGCAGAGGCCAAGAATTACACATTGCTTCTCCATGGCGATTACATGTAATGGAGGCATGAATCGTAATAAATCAACCCTCTGACATGTTTCCACAGTGCATCAGCCAGGGGAAGTATTTGTTATTAAGAAACAATACAAAAGGAAGATGACTGGAAAAAGGACGAAGGCTTAATTGTTCACGTATGAATAAATAATCCCAAACCAACAATGAGGTCCGGATGGAAAATTCATTGATGAAATGTCAGAAAACAGACTCTGTACTTTTTGTAACTATCTTGCTAAATGATCAAGTTATTAGGATAACGGGAGACATAAAAAGACACTTCAAAAGAATATTTTCACAGAGGATCCCTCTGGTGTCAGACAGATGCAGACTTGTGAGTCATGACTCAGGAAGCTGCTACTGCTGCCTGCAAACTGTTGGAACATCCTGCAGATGCACAAATGACGTCCTGAGAAGTCAGCTCAAAGACCAGGAATGTCATGCTGAGGGACCTCCACATTCTTAGTCATCCTATTCATATCTCTATTAGTCACACAAGGAAGACTCACCCTGCCTCTTTTTTTCAACCTTCTCTACCGGTTTTCCTTCACTGCCACTCTAAGGCCTCTGAAGGAGCAGCAAAGGCAGCCGACTCCTGGCGCTGGGCTACAGAGGAATGCAGGGTCCTGCTCCGGGGTCTTGGCCAGTCTGCACACCAGTGATTTCTACTGTTTGGAGTTTGTGTTTTCCCAGAGAAGCTTGTGGCCTACTCCCTGCCCCCTGTCCTCTTGATACAACACAAACACGGTTGTACTCTAAATGTAAATTTGTGTGAATCTGATGTACTGGCAAGTAGCCAAAGTCATCACTGACACAGAGGATCTTTATATAGACCACAAAATCTGGGAAAGCCACATAAAACTTTAAGTAATGACCAAAATGATAGATTTCCAAGACAGCGTAGAAAGCAGCCTTTGGAAAATGTACTTTTAGTATACTACCCAACACAATCATTAACAAGTGGGCTGTAAAAGTCAAACCATTTTAAATCAACTTGCTCAGCTATACAACTTTTTGACAACATACCTTGAGAAATCAGAGTATCATTGTTTTGGTTAGAGCATATCAGACGTAACGTGTATTTAATGTTTAATTTAATGACGATAGGTCTGTAGAAGTGAAAGTGGTGGATGCAGGCTTTATGGTTTACAGTTATTGTATTTCCCTTTATTGGCCTCAATAATCAAAAGCATTGCCTTAAAGGTGTTCAACTTCTTGGCGAGAAAGGGACGGGAGATGTTTTCCAACGGTGGAAATGGAAGTGTCTCAGTGGGTGATATCACCCGTGGAGAAGCTTTAAATTGCTCAGCTGAGGATTGTCAGATCTCTACAGGATACAAGACCCTTGGTAACTGTGTGCTACTGTCTCCCCCACATCCGGTAAAAGCCATTCTCTATTCATTCATCACCTCCAATACCTTGTTTTAAAATAATAATAAAAAGTTTGGTTTAGCAAAACCTCTTGAGCTAAACTCCTCCACATAAGTCAAGGCTGAGGGTACAGTTATATTGTCAAGACAATTCAATTCCTAAAATCATCTTCTCACATAACTTTTGTTTGACTTAATTTTTTGTGTTAAGACTTGGCATAATGTGGACTTAAGAAAAAACAGATGGGACTAAGGAAACGTCTGGTTTAAGACAAGTTTCTGAACCTGTCGTCATTCAGAGAGGAAGGATTTGGTGGATCAGAGAACAAACACAGGATGCTGACTGCTGGCCTGCCGTAAGACCAGAGGGAAGGTTAGCTGCCATAAAAGGAGCAGGTCTGCAAGCTCCCGGTCGTAGACAAAGTAATAAACAAAACTTTTTATAGTGTTTTGCGCTCTAATGCATCCCTGCTGCATCATTAAATGTTAAACAAATGCTATCTGCCAAGTTCTCAATGGCTCAGAGAGGGATTTCCCATGATCGTACCAGTTTCCCAAAAAGTAGCACAGCCCTAAGGTTTACACAAGGAAGGAAGTATTGTTGGTATTGTTCTGTGACTGTAAAGCTTTTTTGTGTCACTGAGGTAATGGGGGAATACATCTTAACATCTAAAACTCTGTCAGTGTGAAAGAGTGAGTAAAATTGTACTGGACTGGTGGTCGGATAAAAGGCCAAAGCACTATAAATTATGATAATTGGAGACCACAATTTTACTTCTATCCTTCATATACACACATACACATCACAGAGTCTCTCTCACCACACGATGTCAGCAATGACAAGCTCATCCCTAAAGGTTGGACATTATCATAATCATTCTAAGTTTGACTCTGACCTGAGAACCCTGAGCCCAAGCCATTAACCAACAAGCTTTCTGAATTATGAGGAATTTCCCTTTGTCCACTGAGGTGGACAAGAAGTCCAACTCAAATCAATGTGTGAATTTATGTCCTCATTACATGACGACGGCTGTGTTAGGCTCCAGCCTGGAGTCAGCTGCCAATAACTTACAAAATTACAAGAGGCAATAAATGAAAGCTCACAGAAGTAGTGTCAGACACTCAAGACACCGAAAAACTGTTGATCTGTTGCAGAAATGATGTTTCTGGAGTCTCAACAATGATCATAGACACGTGATAGAACATAGATTTACATACATACATACATACATACATACATACATACATACATACATAC